AAAAAATCTTATTCTATAAAAGAGTCTAATTTTCTTAAATTTTTTTCCAGAAATCTCCCAGAGACTCTCTAGAGATCTTTTAGAGATTTACTATGACTTTTGCCAGATTGCCCATCATTTTTTACCTGTGCTCTGTTAATTTTACTCGATTTGAATGTAAACTGTGAGAGTTAGGAAAAAATCACTTGGCCGATTTTGGGCTAAACAGGACGTTTTTGAAACAAAACGACCTTATTCTAAAAGGAAAAACGTGTTCGGAAAAAACTCTTCGTAACTTTGTTCTACATTTTAAGCCGAATTTTTTGGCGCAAAAATGAAGTGTTTAGATGTTTATCCGGCTTAGGAATTAGACCGCAACCTTGAGGACTGGACATGAGACCTACACCTGTTAGAGGGGCTGCCAAAATTTCATTTTACGGCAGAACTCCTTTAAAGACACGTTCCTAGGGGCAGTTTGTGACGGGAAATCCGAAAAAAGAAGTATAAAAAGGTTTTGACCTGCGTGGAAAAGACTAGACAGGTTTTTCCCAAAAAATAGGATTTCTGAGGTTTTCCATCCGATCTCAGTTTTTTGCATTTTTCTATTCAAAAAAGTGATCAAATCGAACTAAAAAGGTGATATTCGTAATCAGCAAGAAATTCTGCATCGAGTGATGGACCTTGAAGGCAAAAATAAAAACATGCTCCTCTTTTGAATTAGCCGCGCCTTACTTAACAATACAATTATAATTGAATATACTACTTTTAAACGGTATTTATCAAATGCATCACTTGTATAGCGTATGTCTACTTCGATAGCTGATAACACAGGCAGAGTCAAGGCATTGTACATGGTCTCGCATCGAAGCCCCGTGTAACAAGAGTGACAGAAGCAGATTGACAATGTGCTATTCAGGTAACAATAACCATTATTAGCACAGATATTTGTCAAACATGAGTTAAGTGTTGAATTCATCATAGGCGTTTACAAAAAAGATGTTTAATTGTATTTTACATTTATAAAAAGAAAAGAAGTAGGAGCATTTTACTATATATATTAATATATATTATTAAACAGTAGCTATCAAGGGAAAAAGATTACAGCAGGAATTATAGTATTCTACCTGTAGTGGTATAAACCAACTTCAATTCGACGGTCACCCCATTCGACGGACCCCCCTCAGCTTCAAAACCTAAGACTTAACTGTTTAAAGATAATAAACAAAACTCATTACTATTGTTGAAGTAGCCACCGTTGATGACGTCGGTATTTCTTCTAAATGACAAAATAAACACTGACCTGATGATAATAATAGAAAATAGATTAATGTATACACTGACCACATAAATGAGATGAAGAACATGTTATATTTTTATCATTTCTACACCATTCATCGTTTTGACATGATGAACCGTTGTATCCTTGATTTAAACACATCGATCCATTCCAATATGTATGTGGGGGACATTGACAAGTATTATGAATATATAATAAATATCGATTTATTTGACATTGATTGCATGTTTGGTTATAGACTAAATAAAGTTGTTGTGTATATGCAATACTACTAACTCTTAATATTGGTGAGATAGCTGTTGATCTATTCACTTGATCAGTTGTTATTTCACCTTCAAATAGTCGACATCGTTTAGATAATGTATCATAATCGAACGTCCGACACAAGGAATTCACATTACATGTTTGTGCACAACCGATTTGTGATGATACCGAGATTGTATTTATTAACTCAATTGGATCAGCAGGTGCAAATGATGTACCGAAATCGCCAAGGTGAATACACGACTGGAATTGTGAATAAGTAAGATCGATGAACAGGAACCACCGAAGGAAATACTGTGGTATAATTGAGTGTCTAACTGTTTTCATGTGAAAGGTCTTTTAGAAGGTCTGTTAAAAATGTTTCTCTTTCTTCGAATGTTCCTTCGTTGTCAAAACTAGATATTTGAATACAATTTATTATCTTTTTCTTCACAGTATTAGGGTGAAAAAGTTCTTTTTCAGATCTACATAAAATTTTTTCGACCTATACTGCTGACTGAGGTTGTGAATTTCACAAGAGAAGGAAAATGAATAATTTCAATGTCGAAAAGGTGTTTCATAAGAAAGCAGAAAGAAGAATTGTTTGCCACTAAAAGCAGGATGTTGTGTCCTCCTAACCTGGTTTTAACCCGATAACATGTATATAAAAGACAATATTTCCTCTTTTGAAAAAGACAGTGATCTATTGGGCTAGAATGCTTGATGATGAACCATCACAAATCGGTTGTGCACAAACATGTAATGTGAATTCCTTCAAAACCAAAATCCCGCTTTTTCAAACTGATCTCTGGAAAAATGCGCCAGTTAAGATGCTTTTCTTTCTATAAAGATTGGATTCAATTCGGACTCTCTAAGTCGCAGAAAATAGAGCAGGTCGAATACTACTAATATGCATCAAAACTCTTTTCATATCTGTCTTAATAAAGCACTAGAAGCAATCATAAGAGAACTTCATCTACTAAGTTAAGATTCTGATGAAAAGCGGGATTTATGCAAACGAGCAACATATCGTGCACTGCAATCTCATCTCACTTATTATTAATTTTCGAACTTCATTTTCTTTCTATAGTTCTTTCTATAGATTTGTAGAAGTAAATTCGGTCTACAAGCAGTAGACAGTGAGTACAAGTCGTGAGACAGACTGTCCACGTAGACTAAGCTCTTATTATAGAAAAATTAAATAAGTGGAAAGAAAATTATTTTATTTACTCCATTCTTCTTCAGATTCTTATCAGAATCTTATACGAATAACGTACGAGTTCTGCTGATTCTTACCAATTTCTTATGAATTCTTGTGAAATTCTTATAAGATTCAGCAAAATTCTTGTCACTTTCCTGGAAGATCTTATATAAGAATTGAGTAAGATTCTTACAAGATTCGTATAAGATGCTTGTAAGATTCTTATATAAGAACCGATGACTAGGGATGTAACGAATCAAAAAACATTTTTTTTCAAAAGCATCTCATCGCAATTATTGAATAAGAAAAAATGAGTCTCTTACTTTTACTTCTGTCTGATCTTGATCGAGTTCTTGTTCGACTGTGTGATCGAGATCCATTTCGATTTTGTCTTGGCGACTGTAGTGATCTACTACGTCTATAAACATTATTACGGAATGTATGAGATGAATCATAATATAATTCAACATAACGATTCCCTTGAAAAGAAAAAGAAATTAATTTAACATATATAATAAAGAATATTGACAAATTACTTACCAATATATATATTTCTGATCAAATTTTAATGCTTCTTGCGCATCATTCTCGGTATCAAAATAAGCTAATGCATCACCATTGGGACGATTTGTTTCACGATCACGAAATATTTCAACTGACCACGGTTCACAAAATGAAGAAAAAAACTAGAAAAGAATTCAACATTCATAGTGAAACCGTTTAACGGTAAGTTTAAGTTTAATTCCGGAACAGCCGCAGTGAAACAAAGTACAAAAAGTACAGAGTAATAGAGAGGCTGAGATACAAGACACAGACAAACAAGTGACGTATCAATACGTTTCTTCTACTGTCTAGCCTAAAGATGAGAAAATAGACGAGGAAGATGGCACACGAAAAGTGACAAAGAACGAGAATAACATGATTTGATGTTAGATATACGCTGAGTTTCATGTTAGTGATGAAGATGATGATTTACACGGATGTTTGTAAGAATCAAGAGGGAGATAATTGTTGCTATTATTATGCTCTTAAACTTTCAGAAATGTGTATAGAATGAAAGGGATAAAACATACTTTTTTGATATCATTTTCAGCCACACGAAATGGCAAACCACGCATTTTGACAGCATATTTTCGAGGCGAACGAGATGATGAACGACTACGACTTGGTACTACCATACTAGCAATTTTTATATCGGTACATAGCTAAGAGTCAGCTCTATCTGTCTGCATAATACTGGCTTTCTCTAGTTAAAAATGACCAAAATGTGAATAAAATATCTGAAAAGTTTTAAGCGATCAGAATTACCCCATGTGACTCTACTCACCATGCTCTACAAACTGGCAATATCCAGAATTATTTTTTGGAGAAAACGTTTCAAATTCAGAGACGCGGCTTTCTAAAAACCAGTCTCGAAACACCTATCAGCAGACCTGACTATTATATTCCATGTCTTTTATGCAAGAAGTGATTTATAAATTGGGCTCTCGTGAGTACCAACGCATAGTTGCATTTGCTAAGGCAATATAACTCTGACAAAGGTTGAAAGTGTATCTAAAATCACTTAAGAGTAGTCTGCGCTATCTACATTGTTAAAAAACTGTGTTCTTCAGTTTTTCAGAGAACTGAAAAGTCAACGGGAATTTTGTTCTTCATTTTTCCTAGATAGAGAACTTAAATTCTGTTCTCCAGCTCTCAAGAACTCTAAATTTGTTCTTCAGTTTTAAAAAAAATGACTTTTTTTGTTCTTTGAAAAATTGAAAAACAAATTTAGAGTTCTTGAGAGCTGGAGAACAGAATTTAAGTTCTCTATCTAGGAAAAATGAAGAACAAAATTCCCGTTGACTTTTCAGTTCTCTGAAAAACTGAAGAACGCAGTTTTTTAACAGTGTATCCTGAATGAAGAAACAATATTTACCGTATCTGCAAGCAAATTGGTATTTGAATTATAGTTATAAGTTGTCATAACTGAACATGTTTCATTTGATAATAATTGTAAATCTGAAGGAAATTCTAAGACTATGCACAAGTAATATTATACGGGCATTGTTTTTCGCTTACCCTCTGTTAACCATTTCGATGGCTTTTCTGCTTCTGGATCAAGCATATGCGTCAACAACTGATATAGCATTTTAAATGTTAACCGTTCTTTTGGAATGCGTCGCCAGCATCGACGCATAACATCATACCTAAAGACTGTCGTTATCGTTAATTACTTACGAATAAATTTTCGTCTATGTCGATACTTACAATGTACTTGTACAAAATTTTGGCTTTTCAAGCAGCGAACCATTGCTAACATAGGTAACTACTTGTTGATTATTCATTCCTTGATACGGAGCCTGACCCAATGTTATTATTTCCCACAATACAATACCAAATGACCTGACAATGGACGCATAATGCAACAAAATCTACGATTAAAAGAAAATGACATCTACATACCATACATCCGAATGAATGGTAAACATAGCATCTAGTAATGATTCTGGTGACATCCGTCGAACAGGTAACAGAGCTTCACCAGTTTTACGGTAATAGTTTTTACGATAAATATCGCGAGCTAAACCAAAATCTCCAATCTTAATTGTACGTTGACCATTTCGATATTCAACAAGACAATTGCGAGCAGTCAAGTCTCTAAAATTCGAAGAACCAACATTATAAGCCATGAAAACAGATTTACTTCTATTACCTATGAACATAATGTAAATTCTCTAAATAACAGCAGCCATCAGCTATTTGCAAAGCAATATCAATACAGTCATCGTACGATAATTGATGAAGTTTCGTCTGATAATAAAAGAGAAAAGTATAAATTAGCTATAGACACAAATATTCTTTGTAACTACTCACCACATTGGGTCTAGAACGTCTAAGGTAGTTTTGTAAATCACCTTCATTCATATACTGTAAAATAAGAAATTTCGGTTCAACATCAAGACAAACGCCTAATAATTTAATAATATGATTGTGAGAAAATTGATTCATTATCATCGCTTCTTTTAGAAAATCTAAGCGTTGAGTTTCATTGGCTGTTTTTAATAATGTCTAAAATTGACGGGAGAAATATGTATACTGGACAAAAGTCTTTTTTCTTTTCATACCTTAATAGCTACTTCAGCATTTAGAGTTATTTGTTCTGCATCTGACACCACTATAGTCGGTTGATTCCATAAGCCAGCATACACTTCTCCAAATGCTCCACGTCCAATCATTCGATTTAAATTTATTGCGCAACGTTGAATCGATGGAAGTTTAGCGATATCTTGACTTGTTGGAATATGGCTACAGGAAAAATTGTGAAAATTAGAGTCGACAAAAGAAGAATAGAACCAAGATTTTATCTTACTTCCATGTATACAAAATATGTTTTTAATCCTTGCGCATAAGCTGATGAACGCAGATTTTCTAATTCTTTATCACTTTCATCTCCGATTATGTATTTTGATTTCAGTTTATGATAAAGTTTCATTTTTCGAACTGAAATAAATAAATATTTTGATACTCTTAATCAAAAAGTACCTGTTTTTCTCAATTTAGCCCTTTCGTTTACTGAAAGAAACTTACCATAACAACAAAATGGTATGACACCAAGCAAAATCATTAATATTAACGTAACGACGAGTGAAATAATAATAAGTTTTAGCCAACCAGGTTCACCTTCAATTTCATCAAATGCTAAAACGATAAATTTATATAGAAGGCAGACACAAAAGTTAACTTATAAACACAACTACTTTGTTTCACAGCAAAAAATAATTTGGATAATATTCCAATCGTGTATGATTAAGGTTTCGTCCATTTTTATTCGACGAATAAAGGCGAAAATGAATAACTTCAGATTTATTTGAAAATATAAAGAATGGTAAATCAAAATAAGAGTAGTGCCCAGAGTATAATTGTGTCCAATTTGATGTTGTACAATTATTAATACTAGAAGAAAGTTAGATATTGTTGTGCAAGTATTCGAGTCTGTCCAAAAAAGCCTCTTAATACAAATCTATTCAACTAACAGCTTTTTTTAACTAACGACGGAAGCTTTCGAAATGTTATCTTACTTTTTCCTCGAAATATAATTAATTATGGATAGTTTTTTGGACTTGATACAAATCAGACATCTATTGATGCCCATACAACCTTGCAGAACCTCTGTTCAAAGTAGGAATATATGTAAAAGTCTTTCACGAACTTTCAGTTGAACAACTGGTAGTATCAAAGTGCAGAGCAGTTCGAGTTACATATATGCACACGTTATTGAACTAACGAATACTTTCGCAAGGATATAAGACTTGTGAGGCACTCAATACTGTAACGTTTTAAATATTCACTGAAACAGAAAATAAAATCTTTGTATTGTTGTGAAAACTTGTTCGTTAGTTCAATAACTTGTGCATATATGTAACTCGAACTGCTCTACAATTTGATACCATATTCCGTAATTTGAACAGAAATTCTGAAAGGTTGTATGAGCATGAATAGATGTCGGATTTGTGATCAACTTCAAAAACTATCCATGGTCAATTATGTTTCGAGGAAAAAAACGAGATAACATTCGAAAAGCTTCCCTCGTTAGTTTTTTTCAAAATAGAAGTCACTTCTAATAAAATTTTATCTTAACGATGATTTTTTCATACATACCAACTAAATAAGTCGAAACTATGATTATATCCTAAATACGACTGATTATTCCATTGAATTCTTTTCCCCTTCAATTCTAAACTATCTGGAATATCAGGATAGGAGCTATCTGTCACAAATGTAAAATTTATTGGTGGAGCATAGAGAAATTGTTTTGTCTGATATATTTCACATGTACTACGAATTGTTAATGTATATAATTGCTCAGGTATTAAATTTTCAAACACCATTACACATTCACCACGCACTAATTGTTCTTGATTTGTTCTACCATCGCATTGGTATCGGGCCTAGAATATAACTTGAATATTGCATGTTTCCTGCAAGATGCGATAACCGACTTTTTCAAAGACCGATGTTCACAAGTTATTGTTTTTCTTATATCTAATTGAAAAAATGAAATATTTCGTTGATCATCGACTGGTATACAAAAGGTACCGAAGCGGTCGAGATGCTCAGAAAAAACATCAACTAGTGCCTTTATTCTATCGGGTTGATGCTTCGGCGCCACAGGGTAGGCCAGCCTGGAACTGTCCAAAAAAGATGGATTACTTGGTCGCGTCAACAGTCAACTCGGTCATTAATAACATCTTTTCTTTGGCGTCTAGGTAGAAAACTTGACTATCAAACGTATCTGTCGGTTTGACGACTCTACACTCTAAAAAAGATGCGTCTTTAAAATAAGACACCATAAGTCGGTTGACGATTAGTCGCATACATGGGTATTAAATTAAGACGGATAGCAGACTTAAGACCAATAAATTTATCTGTCTTATTTTCTATAAAATTCGAATTTTAAAATTCGATCAAGCATGATCTAATCTCATGAGAATGGACCAGTATTTTCGGTCTAGCTATTGTCACTATTCTATAAGAGAAAAATGGAAAAATTCCTAGTGTATTTTCATTAAACTTTCTGTTCTTTATATACAAGGCAGTAAATGCGAAACAAAAGAGGTGAATGATCTCATCCTTTAGACGATAAAAATAAGGTCTCTGTCTTTGGTCTTACAAATAAGACTAATAGACTCGTCTGTCTTCAAATAAGACGGACGAAAAAAAGTTAGACCAATACAGGAGTAAGACGGATAGAATAAGACGGATTTTTTTTAGAGTGTGCCAGCGGATGAGTTGTAGAAGAGCTTCGACAAAGTTTGTACATGAAAATGGTCTATGACGTTATTGTCTTTAGATATTTTAAAGAAGATACATGATTGATTTACACTAAAACTATTCCAAGCTAAGACGAACTATCTTTACTCACTTTTATAGTCTCATTTTTGAATCTAAGTAATCCTTTGACTTCGCTGTATAGTAAACATAAACCTCTGACATTCACGTGAACTGTTCGTCCAGTATTTTCTAAAATATTTATTTGTACATTATTCGGTGAGTGAAATGATCTTTTATGATCGAGTACGTAATAGCGAGAGCCGAATGTATACAGTTTTGGTTGAACGCTGTAAACTATATTTTGTTCTAATTCAAAACCAAAATAGATTATGGAATTTGTATCGATACTTGATGTCGGATGTACTGAAACTATGCCTCTGTTTAACTGGAATAATGTCATATATTTAATAATACCTAAAAATCGATAAGAAAGTAATCAAACAAGATTCAGAATTGTTCTTTGTATGATGACTAACCGTTTTGAGTTATCATTGCTTGTGCAACAATATTCTTTGAATTTTTCATACGAGGTGTTATTATTGCGTAAACAACCATATTAGGAAATAAAGATGTTTGAATCTGATCGATAGTCAATAAATTTTGACCATTTAACACATTCATCTAGAGATAAATAAAAAAATTGATAGAATTTCAGTCATATCCATGAATTACTACTCACCATCGGATGTCTCAAACACATAAACTGGTTGTACATATATTCTATTACTTGTCGAATAAAGAATATCAATACTTAGCGAATAGTTTTGATGCGGCAATAAATTCGATATCATGAAATGATTTGTTTTTACATTCTTAATACATCACATTTTAATTTAGCTGTACATTTTAATTCCATCACAGGTGTACATACTTTAAGTGAATAAACTAATGTATTTGTATTTGTATCGTTTACATTAATATTAAAGTGAACAAAATCTTTTATCTGAGAACCTTTTGATTCATAAAACGAATTTTTTATATTTATTTGAAATGAATTAGAATTAATTCGAACATTTTGCAGTACACCGGTTCCTTCTCTTTGAACAATACAAGTTGAATCTGAAAGAATGATTATTAATACAACAATGATATCATATTCATGAGGGAAAGAAGTTATTGCATCAAATTTCAGAGACTCTAAACTGAAAAACGAAAATCGAAAAAAACGAACTCGGATTATTCTAGACACGAGTGTTAACTTCCATTTAAGAGCCCCCTCCCTCCGAATGAAATCTTTCTGTATCAAAAAATCAATTTGGAGACAAGCACATGGAAAGATAGCCTGGAGTGTCTACTTCTAGAATCTATATCGCTTTCGGGCCTAGAACTGTTTTTTCCCGGTTTTCGAGCAAGGTTTCTAGAAGCCTTGAAAACCAGGGTCATCAAATAATAAGTTTTTTCTAAACACGTAGATTTGTAGAGCAGACTTTTCTGATCAAAATAAGACGGTGCAGAACTCTGTATGATCTTGCGTTCAAAAATTACAAGCATTTTCCTACATGTCCTAAAATAGACCAACGAATGTACAGCGTTTTCTCTCAAAACACGTTTTTTGTTCGAACATGCCTAGTGTGGGACACTTTTTTAAATATACTTCAAGCTAGAGACCTCGGGTTGGTTTTATTTTAAACGAGGCACCTAACTGCGTGGGCTGATGGGAGATTCTATTTTTGAATTAGGCCTTAGTTTTCTAGAAAATCAAGGATCTTCGGAAAACTCGAAAGGATTTTGGGGGTTTTTGAGGGTCTTGGATCTCTAGAAAACGAACGAAGACCTAAATCCAAAATCTGGTCCCATCAGCCCACGCAGTTAGGTATCTAGTTTAAAATAAACCCAACCCGAGATCTCTAGCTTGAAGTATATTTAAAAAAAGTGCCCCACAGTGAAGGGTGAGTTTTTTGACCTTGGACTACGTTAGGGAAGAAAAAAAAATTCATAACCACACTTTGATATGGCAAACATTTGCTGAAAGTTGCCGTTCAAAATAGGTGTTTTCGTGTTTCCCAAAAACTCTTCTTCAGGTAGACGCTGGGGAACTCGTATTGTTTCCAAAGTAAAGCGAATACATTACAGAGGCTAATAGTTGAGTTTCGATATGCAGTACGAGTAGAAAATTAAAAAAATTTCTCAGTTTTTATGGAAATCTGGATGATGTGTCTATCCGAAATTTCTGTTATAAAGACAAATTAAAAAGTTTTGATGCGCCATTATGAAGAATGTTGGTAAATGCTGAAAAAAGACGTACAGTTCTCAAAAATAGAGTCGAATAGATGATGTTGAGAAATACCATTGCTTAGTTGAAAAAGTGATTGTACGCAGATATTCTGTAGTCACCATTCAAATTTACTGAGGCAATCAGTTGAGATAAAATAATTAAAATGTCGAATCGTGCTGTGTATTTTGAAAATTTGATAACGTTCTCTTTCTCTGTTATATAGTCCCGAGTTATTTAATAAATATTTTGCAAGTCTATGACCTCGAAGACTATTTCTTCTATAAAAGTGTTGGAGAATTTTTTCAAAATAAATAATGGTATTAAATGTAATTTTACCTGGACGGGAAATTTGTTTTGTATAAATGAATCTTGGTATTTGATCTTCACCTATTTTATATTTAATTTTGCTTTGTCCAACTTTATTTATTAATATCTCATAAACGAAATACCGTGAATTTTGCATTAATAATGCATAGATAATATCGTTGGAAATTGTAAAATGAACAACTAAAAAGTGAATCAACAAGATTGAAAAAGCAAAAATCAAAATATTTTTTCCAATTAAACCTACTTTGTATATTTCGATTTAAAGTTGTCTTTGTTACACATGGATTTTTGTATGATTTTGTGGATTATAAATCCAAATTTTTTTTTTCATCGTTTATTACTAGCAATGTTGTCATCTCTAGATACATTATTTCCAATTGTTTTAAATGATTCATTCCACAAGGAACAAGTGTTTTTAAAAAATAATTATTAATTAAGGAATAAACATCGATTGATGTTACATTGTCATCATCATCGCTAATCGCATAGATCACCCTTAAAAATACATTAGATACAGTTCAAAGTGTTTTTCAAGTAAGATTAATAACCAACTTTCGTCTCAACGAACAAGAAGAGAGTCCAATGATAAATAATTTTTTCGAGATGGTCAACATTAGGCAAATGAATTTTATTTTAAATCAATAGTTTAAAGTGATATGTATCAAACTGATGATTAAATCGAATACTCTACAATTAACATTCTCAAAACTAAGACCCAAGATGGCAGTTATTGTACAATTTTTCCTAATCTGGTATCTCAACTGAGCATACTCTAAAGAAAAATGCGACGTAGTAATAAGACACACAAGTGGGATCCCCCCCAAAATCCGTATTTTAGTGTCTCTTTTGAAGATACACGATGTAACTTTACCTGTTAGTCACTTTATAACATCGTTAGTATAGACGCATTAAAGACACATAATTCGTATCCCGTTGAGTCCTTTAGCTGCTGTTTTGAAACCACTTTGATGTGTCTGTCAAGAGTTGTACTTAGTCTAGTTCCTTAATCACGTTCAGTTAAACATGTTCACTAGTGAACCACACAAGCACATTAATTATTAGTCTCACTGGTCTCGTATATTGACTTGACGTGGGAGACTTTAGAAGTTAAAACGGAGACACATGGAAGTCATTAGGACAAATAAAATTTGCTTTTTTGCACTTCCACAGACACACTTAAGTTAACAGTCTCTACTGTTTTCTATAAAACTGAATTAAACTTCTTATTGATGGTTTGGGCAATGTCCGAAATAGTTATAACTAGTTATAAGTTGATTTATAAATAAGTTTATAAACGGTTTTCAACAGGAAAACTGACTGAAGAAAGTTGAGAGTTATAAATATTTGTAAACCACCATATTTCGGCCTCTTCAGTAGTGGGTAGGTTCGTAGATGTTCACACTCGATCTGTACACATATTTATTCACTTTTATTGAAAATATAAGAAATTACATATTTACATATGAATCTGTTGTTTTTCTGTTCTTCTGCTTTATGTGAACTGCAGATAAAGTTGTTTCTCTTCATGTTTAGTAGAAGAATACATCATTGTAATATTCATTCTTTCATTAATTTTCTATTTCTTGTTCAATATAACTAGTTTTCCAAGCGTATTCCCCTCAACATACAAACAAAACTCGTCATGTTCTGAGTGTTTCTGCATGATGTGATATGTGACCTTGGAGTCTTTAGATAGCCGCTGTGATGACACATCATGCTTCTGAACATGAAAGTCAACAGTACACTCAAAGAGCGTCTGTCATCTGTTCGATGCTGCAGGAGGTATGATTACTAGGATAAATACGTCTTGCTAATCACTAACAGACCTATTTCTTACAACACGATGTACCAAAACCGACACTTATACGTTTAAAGGAATTAAGGCACAATGGCTTAAAATGACCGGTCCCTAATGAAAGTTTACCAAAAATATGACCGGGCCTGAATTTGTTACCCTTTTTCCTGGTGCGGATGCCTTCTGACGCCCGCGCCTTTGTCGCTTAAAATGTTGCGTTGTGGAAAATTTTGGCTAAGATTGCCTGCCGATATAGAGCATGGTATTTGAATATCCGGGTACCAGTGAAAGGGTTAGTCTTGTCGTAAGTTATAGCCTTAAATCTGAAGATAGAGTTCTATATTTTCAAAGAAAATTGAATATAACTTCGTTAACAAAAAATTCGTCAAGTCATCCATAAAATGTGACTACTAAGCATCTTTCTTGTTCAAACGTCTTCTATAAAGGACGCACGCCGATTTTTTTCTTTTCCTTCTGTCTGTAAATGTATGTCAGGAGTGTTTTACAGCACACAGAATATACACCAAAAGGAAGAAAAAAAAGCAAAAGGACGGCGTGCGTCCTGTATGTATCGTCCTTTTCTGTTCTGGCCCAGCTGATAAAAGAAAGATTGTAAATGTAAAATGTAACTTTTTTGATCCAAGTTTTATCATTTACATTTGTTGCTACAGGTCTATTCATGTCAGCGAAGAACTCGACGACGATAGAAAAGAAGAAAGTGGCACAGATGATGACGAGAATGATGGAATGGTAACAACCAACAGGAAAATCATCGTATCTGAAGAGATTTTTGTTCTTATTTCCAATTGCAAAAAGTTATTATGCAAACAGTAGTACTTGCTTTTTGCCAATATCCATCGAATGATCTTTCATCGTCTCTTTTATCTATAATTTTCAGAGCCCGAAACAAATCGAATGATTCGACATTCGATCAGGGCTGTGGTAAAGTACTGACGTGAGATTTAACAAAATTCGTCCGGACCATCATACTGTAAAAATTGAAAACTTTC